TTATTACATTTGCAAATAGCTCCAGCATGGGACAGGCAAATCCATGCTGGATCATAAGTGAGTGTAAAGTTACCTCCCAAAAATCAGAGAAATAGTCTGGAAAAAAGTAGGATGAAATATAATTAGGACAAATTCGAACTCTCAGCTACAGGAAGGAACAAGCTTTTCTGCTTATGAGAGATAAGAAGCAACTCTGGTATCAGCTGGGTAGGAAAGGACCTGAAGGTTTTAGTGGGTCACACTAAAGGAAAAAAATCAATGTTGCTGTTGTAAAAAAGTCAGATACTGTACTGTGAGATACAAACAGGATTGCTGCTGATAAGACATATGAAGTAATTCAAGTCTGTTTAACATCAGTAAAATTTTAGCTTCAACTGCTGCATTCAGCTGGGAGGCATTTTAAGGTCTTGAATTCACTGGAGGGAGTTCAGAGTAGAAAACAGTTGGGATGAGCAAGGACCCAAAACCACAACTTGACCTTGGGAAGGTCAGAAGAGGTATGTTCTTCCTGGAGAAGAGAGGAAGAATTCAAATGATGTAAAGAAAAGAAACAAATACATTTTTCCCCATTATAGCTGTGGGTAGGACAACAAAAAACGTGCTCAAGTTACAGCAGGGAGATTCAGACAAAACCCAGAAGAGCTTTGGGTTGGTGCAGCTGGAGCTGCTGAGCAGAGGCAAGTGGGGTCTCTGGATATTTAACAAATGATTTGACAAGTACTTTAAGAAATGGCACAGCTATGGCATCCAAGATGGCATTTTGTCTGTGCCCTTCCACTCATTTTTCTGTGATTTTTAACAGTTCAGCAAGTAATGATTTTTAAAACAGCTCTCAAAAGTCTTGGAGCTTCCTGAAGACGCCCAAACCTTCTCTCCTTCTGCAACCTTTTCCCACTGCCTTGTATTTCCACTGGCTTCACTGAAACGAGAGTTTGCTGGCTGCAGCTCTTGGACCACATCAATGACTGCTCACAGTCAAACATTTAATTTACCTCCCAGCCACACTCAGAGCCTTGGGAGTGAACAGCTATTTTTAAAGCCACCAGCCTGCCACACTGGAACGTTTGGTCGTCAGTAGAGAGTGTGCTCGAAGAAATAATGACTGCCTTTTTATCCAGACTATTATAACTTATGTTTAAAGTACACTAAAAAGCATGTTTCTGTGTATTTATAAGGAAGGTATATTTAAGGCAAATGTCCCTCCAACTCTACTCAATAAGCAAAGAGCACACAGCAATACTCCACTCCTGACATTTTAAAAGCTCTCTGATGTTCTTTTCTTCCTTTAACAATGGGGCAAATTTTCCTTTCCTGGCTGCCAGCCTGCCTCCACTTTTTCTTTTAGCATCTCTTGAAATTACCTTGACCTCACCTTTAAGCACTCCCTTCTCCAGGACACTGAGCTCAGTTGGTGTGGGAGGTGTTGTTGATGGAGAAATGAAAGAGCAGACATCACCATAAGGATGAGAATATTATCAGCACTTGCCCTAATGAGGACCCAGCAACACCTGGGGCTACCATTAATATTGATCCAGGGTCTCTCCTCTGCCCTGTCCCTTCCCAGGACTGCAAATCTCTGATGCTTTCTGGCCATACCTCTCCACAAAGGACTGAGTGACTGACTGCCCCTGGGCTTGGGAGGGGACAGAGTATGGACCACACTCAGTCTAAGCACCTTTCCAGCCATCATCTTCATGGCATGGCTTGGTCTCTTGATGTTTTGCTGCTGACCTGGCAGAGACAGATACAGATTGCAGTTGCCACACACCCATCCTCACCAAAGAGAAGGTACCCCCTTTCTCACAGCTGAAAAGTAAGCAGTCATCTCTTCTCACCTGGAGGTTTAAGCACACCAACAACAAATAATTAAGAGCCTCCCCTTGATAAAAAATAGAAAAGTCATTTACCAGCCCAAAACTCTGTGTCTGTGCCAGGGGAATTGCATTCCCAGTTTGTAGGTACAAGGCCAGCTCTCCAGCTGCATCAGTTTCATTTCAGGCCAGGTCTAAAACAAGTTTGTCATGCCCAGGGACACCTGGGTGATGGACTTTGAGACCTGGAGCAACCAGCCATGCTCTACCTGTAACTGCTTCAGTAAATCACTGCACTGAGCTCATCTCCTCATCAGTAAGTCCTGACAGAGCTAAAAAAAAAATTGCTTCCAAAAAAAATGGCATAGCCCTGAAGCTGCTGAAAGACTTCTCTTTTACTATTGCTGTGAATGAAAACCTCTGTTTCTCCCTCTGTCAGCAAACACCACTGATCCAACCCCATCAGCATGGCTCAGTGCTGCTACAGCAAAGGCTTCCCTCTGGGGCAACCATCCCCACTGGCTCCTGGCCTGATTTTTGGGCCATGCCTAAACTTGAAAGACAAATCAGATTCAAGTAGGGTGATACAAGTAAGTGCAATCCCCATGCTTAAATATCTCAACTCATCTCAATTGTGTTATGCTAAAAGAGAAAAGGGCATTCAACACAGTAAAAAATGTTTCATGCATAAAAACAGGTAACTGCTATGGAAAAAGCTATTTCTGGGAAATTCCAGACCAGCTCTGAGCACACCAGTGCCCTTGGAAAATGGCACATTTGTGAGGTGCCAGGACACCCAGCCCATATCCATGAGACTGAAGAAACTTTGTAGGCCTGGAGGAGAAAGTTTCTGCACCCTGTTAACTCATAGCCAGTGCACTTCTGAAGGCACTCTCCTCACAGTAATTAGCAATTCCCACCTTGTCAAAGCTCAGACAAGTCAGGTATTCAATTATTTTAACATCCTGGCCCTTCTGAATTACAGCCTAGGGACATTATCTACAGGCAACTCCTACAGCTGGTTCACCTTCCAGCTGGTTCAAAGGAGCAAGGAGAGCTGGAAAAGCAGCAAAGCCACTTTGCTTCAGCTGATTCAGCAGCTGTGGTGTGCCAGCAGTAGGACCAGGGTAACTGTCTCCTTTCTAGTGGGAAATCCCTGCACATGTGGCTGCCACTGATCTGGGGCAACTTTTCGAGTCAAGTCAGCTCCAGAGGGTCCATAGTTCTGCTCCCAGGAGGATGTGTGCCAGCAGTTAGCACAGCCATGAAAGTACAGATGATGGAAGAGGAGAGAGGACAGACCCAGAGATGCAGACAGGACTTTCACAGCTGCACAGTCACATTGCCATGCCCTCAGCTCTCAGCAGGTGCTCGAGATGCACACATAAACACCGCCCAACACACACAGGGGGAGCAGTCCCACAGAGAGGAAGACAGACCTTGAGAGACTGGCAGATGCACACAGGATGTGTGGTGTGGGGTAATGTTACACTGTGGGTGACAGCAGAGACATGTTTTGAGGAGATTTGAGCAATGAGACTTCGTAGGTTGATGAATCATCCCTCTTTCCTACTTTTTCTGTAGACAGAGGCAACACCCCACTCCTGAGAGCTCAAATTAGGGCTGTGAAAATAGCTGAGGTTTTTTGGCTTTAATCCCAAATCAAAATATTTTAAGAAATCAGAACAACCTGAAAAAAAATTGTTATTCTTTTGGGCTAAGTAGGCTGGTTTGAGCCACCCATCCTCTCCTTCTGTATGGCGATACTGCAGAAATATTTGTGTATAGAAGCACTTATTTTGGTTCACTTGAAGAAAAAGAAAAAAAAATAAAGAAATAAAGAAAAGAGAGGGCTATCTTCCTCCCTGCTTCAAATAACTTCAGGAGACTTTCCTTCCTGAGCTCTTCACTGCAAGTGGTTGGTGTTCTGGAGCTCTCAGCCCTATCAAGATGTTACCACGGTGCAGATCAGTGACAGGAGCACTCGAGGCAGGGCTAAACTCACAAGTACACAGAAGGTAATGGCAACCTTGTAGGGTGTCCAGAGAGGGGGAAAAAATCAAGACTGACTCCTTAGAGGAGTCCCTTGCTCACTCATCCAAAGGCCAGTGGGGTTTGTACTGCCATCACAAGGTGATTACACAGGAGCACTGCTGTGGAGTCAGAACTGAGCCACCTGAGAAGGAGAGTTTGTCAGTACTGGGCAGGAAACCACAATTCTGCTTTATAGCAAGTGTCCAACTTCAAAAATCTCAAAAATAGACCAGATTTCAATCAAAAATTTGAGTCAGATTCTTAAGAATTGAATTTTAGAATTTAATTCTTTCTTAAGAAAGAATTTTAGGGCATCTGTTTTGATATAAAAGCCAAATTCAGGAACAAACTTTTCTGACCTGTTCTCCATTCTCAGCAATTTCATTCAAGTAATATCAGTTAGATTATCAAAATATAGTCATTAAAAAACCTGTTCCTGCAAAAAAATTCATCTTTCTAGTGGAAAATCATCTATTAGTACTTTTTCCAACTTGATCTAGAGCTAGGAGTTATTTGGTGTTCTCTGTGATGAACTGGGAACCCATGACAAATGCAAGCATATGACCAAGTCCACAGGAAAATATGACTAGGAAGAGGGAAAAACAGTTACAAATTTTATTTGTTTTATCATGAGTTCTGGTTATTTTTATGGAGTAATAGGATGCTGACAACATGATTTTTATTTTTTTTTTACATTATTAAAGCAAAATCCAGAAAGCAGTGCTTAACTGGTATTTATTAAAACTTGTTTTAAGCTTCTGCTTTAAAATGTAATTGACTTTTCAATTTGAGATCTCTCAAAGAGGAAAAAACCTCTTTAAAAGCTATTTACATTGTTTTTACAGAAGTGTGATTTCTACCTTGTCAGCAGGCTCTTATGCTCTCAGGCAAGGCTTGCTCCAGTTGGAGCTTTGCTGTCCTGTTGGTGCAGGAGAATGGTGTGAGGAGCACAAACAGCTTCATGCCTTCCCCTAAAGCAGTGTCCCTCTGCACTGGTTAAATTTATTTCCCCCTCAGGGCCCTTTCTAGCTGCATATCCATCACCTTCTCTTCTCCCAAGCATTGATGTTCCCCTCATATCTTGAATGGTCCATGCACCTCCTCCTTGAACACCAAAACCTCCTTCCTGGCCCTTCATTTCCTCACCTGGAACCCACATTCACACTCTGCCTGATTGGCCTCGTTGATGTTGCTGTGTTTGGGACTGCAACATGGTGCCACAATCATCTGTCCCTCTTCTTGGTCCTTGGGGGACCATGTTGGGGAATGCACATCCCACTTGAGGCCATCTCAGCTCCTGGCTCCTCTCCCCTCACACAAGGAGCACATCAGGAATGCCTTTATGTAAGGAGACTGCCACACACAGCACCAGTACAGTCTGAGCCACAGATAATTTTGAATTGGAGGAGAAAGGAAAAATATTTAGCAAAATTATGTAACTGAAGTTCAAAAATAGCCTATTGCCATCTGGTTGTGCTATTTTGACAACCAAAAAAACTCTTAAGTCTTTATAGAGCTAGATATACTGTTTGCAAACTCAGCCAAATTTTTAACAAAATCTCGAATTTTACATGCTTGATTTACCTCTGGAGTTTTTTGAACCAGCTTTGCCTGTGCACGAGCCATACCCAGTCATACATCTCCATTCCAAGCCTGCTATGAATATTTAAACTCTCTGTCATATTCCTGTAAAAGCAAGTACACAATGTCAGGAGACTCCAGAAAAAAAAAAAAGCTTTAAATAGAGTAAACTATAAAATAAAATAATAATAATTAAAAAATGCAACCCTCTGAAGCATTGTGGATTAATCCCCAGCCTGCTGCCCTGCCTCCATTGGCCATCAGGAGACAGCTATTTTAGCAGCCCAAGTTGTAATGGAAACTTCATTCTCAAGCTGTTCCATGTGCTAAAGCAACTGGGAATTGCAAAGAGCCTGAAACAGTGCCCAGACATGACCTTCCCTGTTAAACAGAGGACAGCTTCATGCCATCTGCACCCAGCTGAAATGTCAGCATGGAAGGGAGCATTGCCCTTAAACTCTTCCAGGCCAGCAGGATGGGGACAGAGCCGAGCACAGGCGGTGAAACAACGCACCAGGAGGTGTGGTTACCCAGCCTGTCCTCCCTCCATCAGCAACACAGCAGCACTGCTTAGGTCCACTGTTCCTGTGACTACTAACCTTACCAAACCCCAGGAAACTGCCTTCCTACAACTGCAACTGCATCTCACAAGTGAAGGTTAATTATCCCCAAGCTGCTTCCTCTGTACCACCTGGCATTGCACACCTATTGCCTGTCCTGGTGCTTGGCAGCCCTCAGCCCTTTTCACACTTGCCTTAGCTAGGGACAGGAAGTGGTCTCAGCATAGACCTCTGTCACTTCTGGAGACATCACCCACCTCCACTGATGCTCACAGGTGCCAAACCTGGCCTGAGGCAAGGCCTGGGACCCACCCATTTGACTCCAGGAGCCTGAATGATGTGGCGAGTTCAAGATGAGAATTCCAGTTGACAAGAAGTTTTTAAAAAGAACAAGGTTTTATACTGGTATTTCTGACAAAAAGCACTAAGCAGCATTTTTAAGTCAGTTTTTAAACTGTCAGATTTTAAAATCAGTTTTAAACTGATTTTTTTTCCTTAAAAAGAGAAAGGCAAGAAGTGAAGAACCACACAGTCAGACAGAAGTTTCTCTCCCTCCATCTTCATATCATGCAGCCTTCACAGTACATCACCCTAAAGGCAGAAGAAGGGAGAATCTGAATAATAAAATGTTAAAATTAAACAACCAAGACCTGACAAAGCACATAATGTTCTTATGGAGCACCATCTTTCCAGCAAATGCTCCACTGCTGGTGGGGATGATTAAAATTCTTGATGAAGTTTCTCCTTTGGTTCAGGACAAAATTTTCTGCCAAAGCCAGACAGCTTGGTCACTCTCAGAGCTTTCTAGTCCCCTCTGCTTTTAAAGGGCTTGATTTTATTTCAGAAGGGAATCACCTTTTCCCTCTGGTTTCAAGCCAGGTGGAATGCACATCAGCCCCATGCTCTGTCACCACAGTGTACAGTTCTGTAAGGCACCATCATCTCCTGTGTGTGTAATTAAGACAAACGAGCAGCAGTTAACAGTGCAGAGGTTAATGGCAATTCAATTCACAGCACACCACGAGCAGCGCGGCAGCGGTGGAGAAATGCAGTCACACACTCATCCATCACCTCCAACCTGCTCCCAGGGAAGGTGGATGTGCACAGAGATGCTGCCTTCCCCTAACTGCTTCGAGAGCTTTGGGATGGGTGCTGAGCAGGGCACCACAGCCAGAGTTCTGCCTTAGGGCTGAGCAGAGGGGGATCCCTCTCTCTCTTAACCAGCTATACAAGGAACCCTGCTCCTGCCTTCAAGACCACACTCCGGTGACTAATACGAGGCAGGATGATCTCTGAGCCTTGTGCATGGCCTGTCTCCTATCTCTCCCTCTAATTCCCAGCAGGCAGCATAGATCAGGAAGCCCAACATTTAACATTTAACTCCAAGCTGTCAAGTTTTACTTTACCAGCTAATCAAAAAGGTCAGGTCTCCAGGGCTGTTGCTCTAATGTAGTTACCAATGTGATTTCCAGAGAACAATCAACTCAGGAAGGCAGCAGCCACCACCTCCAACCTGCAAACTCACAGAAAGCATTTCTGGACATGGGCTCTTTGTACAGCCTTTGTAATGGGGAAGAAAGGTCCTACCATTGGTGTAAGTTATCAGTGACAGGGGGAGTTTTCACCTACCCTTCCTAAAGTAATGAACTTTCTGTACAGATTTGTGTGTTTAGCCTGGAGGCTTTAGAGTGGCATCTGAGCTGTCCTGGAACAGGTCTGGGTGACATGGGATGTTTGTCAGGTTGCACTGCTTCTTGTGGAAAGGTTGCAAAAGAAGTCAAGCTTGAAGCAGGTTTCACATAGTGGGATCAAAGGGTAATTGAGGAGAAATTGGAAGAGCAGGGGGTGCTGACATTTCATTTTCCAGTGGATTGGACATGTGCTGAATTCAGAGATGTACCAGGACTCTGCATTCCCCTGATTACCAGATAGTGGAGATTTTACTTTGCAGCACCTGATGAGTGTCTCATAAGAGAATCAATTCACAACACTTTGTTAAGAGCTAACTGGAAATGTTGGTATTTCTTGACCATCAGTCAAACTATGGCTGCAGCTGCCCGTGAGGCAACAGTAGCAAGATAATGAGTTTGTAAAGCCAATTCATAGGAGTGTATCAGAGATTTCTCATGCAAGAAGGCATCCTATGACATCCTTCTTCAGGATGTCTAGAGACTGGAAGCAATGTAGAGGTGAGCCCACCTCCCAGGCAAATCTGCTTTAAATTATCCCAGACAGTACCTGCAGCTTTGGCAGAGACAAGCTGTGCAATGTGAGCAAGACACCAGAGCTGTTGCTTGTGGCAGGTGAAGTCTGGAAAGAGGTAACAGCTATTCTGGAAGCTCTGATCTTATAGGTAAAGAAACTTGTGGACTAAAAAAAAAATTTAAAAAAAAAAAATTTTTACGGTCTTCTTGGAGTTGACACTGCCTACATGTCAATGGGAACAGACTTGGCTAACTTCTCATGTGTGGTAGGAAAATAGACAGCTTGGCTGCTGTTAGGGCTTAGGAGCCTGCAATGAAGTTTCCCAACTGATCAGCAGGTTTTAAGGAAAAGAGTTTCTAGACAGGAAAAAGAACCTCTTTTAAAAAGACTACTGTTCCATTTTCCTCCTGCTGCTGGCTCTGGCCTGGCATGTGCAGGCTGCTGCCCTGCAGACTGCCCAGTGACCCTGGCAGCACAGGCACAGGCACTGCCCCACACCAGCCAGGGACATTACACAGGGCTCATTCAATTGTCCCAACTGGGACCTCACCCACGGGCTGGCCGGGAGCCCGGGCTGGGAGCCTTTTCTATTTCCTCCACGCAGACTTTGCCCTCAGTGGAACAGGAGTTCTGTTCCCAAGCCCTGGGCACAGCCCATTTCACTCCAGCACAGCCTCTCCCTGATCCTGTCAGGAGACTGTGGGGCAGATGCTCCCTGCCTGCCACCTCCTGGGAAAGCCTTGGGAAGCCTGTCCATGCTACACTTCTAAAAACCCTCTACACCCACAAATTGCATGAGAAATGGTCAATGCCTGTAGAAACAATGCCTACAAGGAAGAACCAGAGTCTTCACTGTGGGCTGGTGTCATCACTGAGGAGTGTGTTTCATGCTCACAAAGACAGCATCTCCTTTGTGCCAAACATTCAGCAGCCTGGGAAAGTCCCTATTTTGATGCCCACCCTAAAGAATAGAGGCACATTGGAGATAGCTTGATACAGAGAGCCGTAGCAAGGCTGGTGGATAGAACTGTAGCAGAGAGCCTTGGTTGCTGCTGGGAGAGTACACATTCAGGAAATATAGGAAGGGAAACAAGTTGGACTCATGCCCTGTTCTGATTCTTTGTGTATGAGAAGCTGGAAGTATTTTGTTTTCTGCTTTTCATACTTAAAAAAAAAAAAGAATTCAACATCAAGTTGTGTTTTGGCAGAGGTCTCCTCGGAAGATCTAGAGAAGTAGAGTGGGAGGTTTTGCAGCTTCTAGTGAAATGGGGAGAGGAGGAGGTGTTGAACTGCAAAGATTTTTTTCTTCCAACTGTTGGTTGGGAGTGGAGTTAGATAAATGTTAGCTAAATACAGATTGCTTAAAACATTTTGTAGGAAAAGCAATTCAAGTTGAAATTCATCAGCTTTTACTTGCACTGTCATAATACTATTAATTCTCCAGTGAAGAAAAAACAAACAGGGTAGACAAGACCTGAATTGCTAATGTAAAAACAAGAAACAAAACAATTTTTGTACCATCTTCACAAAGAAGATGACTGAGTGCCCATTTCTCCTTAACTTTGCACATTCTTTGCTATTTTTCTTCCTGTAAGCATAAGAGAAGTAGCACATGGGACTTAAACTTCAACCCACTGTGTTACAAGATGCCTCACCCTCTTCTCAGTGCACTCACAGTGCGCAGGACCAGGGGGATTTCTGACCTGACAGTGGCAGGGGTTTAGGAAATACAAATATACAGGCTGGGAAAAACTTATTTCTCAGGCCTAGAAATGTGGATGAGAATTGGAGGCTCTAGGAGGAGGACAAGGCTGACAACTCAGGCTGTCAGGAGCTATCAGGAGTCTGTCAGGAGCCATCTCTTAGATGGAAAAGAAAGCACGCTGATGCCTTATGAGCTAGTTAGTGGTCCCCTACTAACTCATCTTAAACAGAAGTCAGTATGATGAAGAGCAAGCCTGGAGAAACAGACTGCAGATTGGATTCCACTATGAACCTTCAGGAACACCAGCTGGAAATCCAGCTTGAGTCACCAGCAGGATGGAGAGAGCAGTGACCTGCTCAGCACCGGGGAGCACGGCCAGGAACAGCTTGCACGACACTGAGGAACAAAGAAGTGATGAACCTCTGAGACACCCTGGCTGGAGGAAGAGGGGACACTGCCCTGCCTCTGAGAGACACCAAGAAACAAAGACCAGCAAGAGCTGAAAGACCCTTGAGATGGACTGTGCTGATGGAATCATGCAGCAGTACCCATTAACAAGAAGGTGCAGACAAGTGCTGACATGTCATCAAAGACTCTGTTACAACACCAAACCTTCCACAGACAAGGTGACTGCA